TAGAACTATCAAACAACTATAGGGGGGAAAGTAATAGAAAACAGCAAAAATCACAAAAATAGAAAACAGAAAATATAATAAAGAGAAAATACGATAGCAGATGTCAGACTAAACACATCAAGCAGGGGTCACCATACGACAGTGGGTCACTAACAGTGAGACTTTCCACTGGGCACGGCAAAACTCTAGCCTCGTGTTTAAAGAGACCCAAACCAGGTTGGCACTGAAAGTTGAAATACGGAAATTACCAAAGATATACCAAGGAAATAGAAAACAAAAGGGGGCAGGATTAGCAATATAAATATCAGACAAAAAGAAATGAGTAGAAAGAAGAGGGATACTTGTTATTTAAAGGGGGACAGCACTAGGAGAAGCCTCCCACAAAGCACTGCAACAAACAAAAAGCAAAGCCCGGCCAGGCGCGGTGGCTCACGCCTGTAATCCTAGCTCTCTGGGAGGCCGAGGCAGGAGGATCATTTGAGCTCAGGAGTTCGATACCAGCCTGAGCACGAGTGAGACCCCCTCTCTACTAAAAATAGAAAGAAATTAATCGGACAACTAAAAATATATAGAAAAAATTAGCCGGGCATGGTGGCGCATGCCTGTAGTCCCAGCTACTCGGGAGGCTGAGGCAGGAGGATCACTTGAGCCCAGGAGTTTGAGGTTGCTGTGAGCTAGGCTGACGCCATGGCACTCACCCTAGCCCGGGCAACAGAGTGAGACTCTATCTCAAAAAAAAAAAAAAAAAAAGAATAACCACAATGCCTGCTACCTATTAACGATGCGACAGGTACTCTTTTCCCGTCTTCCCATTGACTAATCTCAACGCCAGCGCAATGCCACACTGCAGGCCACACCTGACTTCTGACCTTGGGGAATGGTGCAGGAAGCGCCCCAGGGTGCACAGCCTTACAAACACACATACAGGTTCTCACAGCACCCGCCTCTGCCCCACCTCCCCCGACTACACTGCCGCTCCTCACCACCAGCCCCACCTGGGCTGCTGGTGCCCAGCGAAGAAAAGCAGTCTGCCCCAAGAGCACTCTCCACCTCTGACACTGGCCAGTCCCACAACTTTGAGAAGCCAGAGTTTGATTTCCTTAGTTTCTCCACACCTAAATTTCCTACCGAGGCTCTGGGCAAGAAGCTACCCTGACTCTGTTCCTATGTTCCCCTCCAGGAGAGCAGGGGCTGCCAGAAGCCATAGCAGCAGGTGGGGCATGAGATGACAGCAAACCGAGACATGGGATGCTCCACACTTGAGTCCCCTCTAGGCACAGGTGTGTGCGTGCACAGAGAGAAAGGGAGAGGACAACCACAACATTTGGGGCTGGAATAGAGAAGTTCAATGATCACTCACATTTATAAAATGTCCACTGCATTACAGCCAAACTCTGCAAATGTGGGTCCATTTGCTCATGGACCCCAGAACTCCTAACTGCGGGATGCACAGACTCGCCATGTTCATTCCATTAACCTCTAAGGAACGCAATCCCAAAGTGAATTCCGGACTTCATTCGGTGTAGCTGCAGCTTTACCACAGTTAAACAAATGAAACGCCAAGCCTCTTGAACGTATACCACCAGAACGATGTGTAGCTGCTTTTGCTTGTTTAAAGATTGAAGTTTATTTGGAAAATTCTGTAATGTTACCTACAGAAATGCAGAATTTCTACCGTGTTCAGAAAGATTTATAACGATTAACAAGAATGAAGATGATGCTTTTATAAAAAGAACAAGAAACTGTTCAAAATGTCCCCATTGAAAATGTAATCTCCACTTAACAGCCACTGGGTAAAAATACATCTAACACTGTTTGTTTTCACCTGATTCAATCTCAGAATTCTATAACTGCCTAGACTGAAGTTTCAATAACGGTGAATTGTTGAATATTACGGACGTCTCTATCCAAACACTTAAGACAAATCATCTCGGGCGGTTTCAAATTAAAAGCTTGTAAAATATGTAACCTCTCCTAGTTTTTGCAATTAATAGGGTACATCTGCAATTAGCCTGCCCTACTGAATGTAGTGCTGTTGTCATTAAAAGACGTCTGTGAAAGTGCTGCTGTTATTACGGAGGCTCAGGAGACCAATCCCTCCTAGAGGGCAAACAGTGGACTGGTGGAAAGCAGCAGCCATAAATCACACTGTCAGGCAGCGGGGAGAGCCGAGTGAAGCACAGGCACATGAAGGCCATTCACGGTAAACACAGCACGGCAGCTTCCCAGGCAGGATTTACTGCACCTGTAATTAATTAAAATTTCCTTCAAGCTAAATCTTTAATAAACAAGGATTTGTGCTGACAATGAGGGAAAAAAAGGGCTCCAGCAACATAATTTTAAAATATACCTCACAGAACAAGCCCAGCATCTATCATTTCTCGTATCAGGTGTATACACTGACTCCAAAGTTAATAGGAATTATATCACTTTGCATCATAATTTGTGTACTTGGAACAGGTCTGAAATATTTAAGATGCTTGAGGGACAATGCAGCCTCCTTTTATTTTGATTTGACATGTTTTTGACTCCTTTCTAGCTTTTTAAAAAACCAAGTCTTTTTGCTCTAGGGTTTCAGAAAACAGGACTTTTCAAAGAACATGTGATGGTAGTTTCATCACATGGCCAAGTTTTTGTGTCATTTTTTCTTTTTAACCACACACTGCATTTCCTGAAGTGAATGTTAACATTCTATTTCATTGTTTCCATTTGGGGCCAATGGTACCTGAACATGAGAAAAAAAGGCCCAGACACTGAATGACCATGAACATTTTGATGAAGCAGGTGTGTACCCTCTACCTAGAATACATGTTGAATCAACTGGCAACACTTCCTTCGGCATCTTTTCTTTTCTCAACTACATAGAGGAAGAGACCTACAACATTCTTTGTTTCTAACAATAAGAAGAATTGCCTGAGTAAATATTATATATCAGGGACCACACTAAACTCTTCATGCACACATATTAACCCAGTAAATCCTCACAAAATTACCAAAAAAACCCCATTTTACTGGTGATCAAACCAGGCTCAGAGAAGCTAAGTGACAAGGTCACAAAGTTATAAAATGGCAGATCCAGGATTCAAACCCTGGTGTCGTAAGCACAAAACCTATGTACTTAAATTATATGCTATTGTTGCTTTTCCCACTCTTATGCTTCTAAATGGCATGAATTAATCAAAATGAGACAAAACTCTTTAAATTATCTAAAATATTACAGAATTACTAGATCCTACATAGCAGAAAATGGTGGGACAGAGAAAGTGACAACTGTTTCATAAAATGAGCAATTTCTCATTATACATCTTCCAACAAATTGAAAAAAGGATTCTTAATTGTTAAATAAACTTTACAACACAGTGCTAAAGATGCCACCACCCACTGTGAGTTATGAGATAAGTATCACAAGACTGCCTTTCTTTCATTATCTCTTCATATGTTTTATTTTCTTTCCCCAAGAAAATGGTTGGCTTTTCAAGGTTAGTGTAAAACATAATATTCATTTTTTTGAAACCCAAACAACATTAAACACCTGGAAAACAGTATTTACAGCTATTCGACAAACATTAATCGACTCACATAAAAGTTTTTCTATGTTAGAAAAAAGGGATCATAAAACATAACGAGAAAAAGAAAATCTTAGGCTCCTATTAAATGAGATTTCAACTGACCATTAAAGGAGATTCAGAAGCCTGAAAATTTCTTTATAAGATTTGATCACTTGGTTGAAACTATCAGATGTATTAATATTTTTTTTTTTTGCACAGTTGCTGGGTGTGCACTTGACAATTCTAAATTATGCTGCCAATCAAAGAGACTATTAACAAAGATAATATAGCATCAAAGCTAAAAGGCAATTTGGGGAAGAATGATAGATGCACTCTATACAGAAATCATTTGATCATTTGGTATCTGCTTTCCAAATGAAAAATTCTCAAAATTTTATGCCATAGCACTACAACAAAGCATTTAGAAAATAAAGATAACCCATGTGAATGATAAGCAAAACAATTCTGGCGTTACTCTTTTAAATATTTCTGAAGAGAAATTCTCTTCTCTTCCCAATTTTGTCCAGTGCTGAATATCCCTATGTCAGAGTGCCACTGTTAAATTTAGACAGGACGGCTAGTGGGCACAGAAAGCTCACCCATGGAAAAAGGAAATCTTAGCTGATAAGGAAGGAAAGGAAGTCAGGCATTAGATGCTGAGCTAGAAGACAGACCATCATTATTGACAGAATATTTGAAATATGAGTAAGAAACACAGACTCTATTGCAATCTAACCCACATTTGTAAGCCAGCAGGCGTGCATGGAGTGGTGACAAAGATCTATATACACAGAGAGGAAAGAAGGAGCAGAGGAACTGCATGCCACTTGGGTGCTTGAATCCAGACGCCAAAGTTAAGATCTTCAAACAGTCACTAATAAGGCCTGTATGAAGGAACTATTAATACATTCTAAATATGTCATCAGCACAAATAATAAACTGATATTAACATTAATAAAAAATAAACTGTTTCTAAGTCAAGAATATGATTTGATAGCTATAAAAGTACATATTTTCTATCTTTTGCATAACAGCTTGCATCTTGAGAGATCTGAGATGCTTCATAATGGAAAAGGAACAGTAGAGAATTAAGAGTCTGAGTAAAAACACAAGGAAACTTTAATACTGCTTTTCCTCAAAACTGAAATAAGAAACTTTCAGTTAAAGTCACTGGTAAACTGTAAAGCACTGAAAAAATTATAATCAACCATGTGATGCATGTGTCCATGCATGTAAAACCACCTCGGAAGGTAGAACGATTGTAACCAAAAGTGAAATATCTCCTCTTTCAGGTTTTGCCCTCCAAAGAAGTTAAGGAAGAAAGTTTCACCAGCAACTTCACTGTCGATTCTATTTCCATTAATGAGTCAATGTATCTGGTTTACATGAAGGCAGATAGCTCTTCAGGTTATAAAAACAAAGGGACTGCAGGTAAGCCCTGATCCAGGTGAAGGTGTGAAATACATGCACTTCACTGCCTCAAAAGAAAATAAAAGGATAAAAAATAACATGAAAAAATTCACCTTTATAAGACAAACGTCAGCTAATGAATCCTGCTACAGGATTTTGCAACACAAAACATTAAGAGATGTCAACAGATAATGGAAATGGAAAGAGAAATCACAATGTTTTATAAGGGGGATGACAGGATAGTTTTAAAATTTAGAGTTTGACGAGAAAACAATCTATACTGTTATTATTTTAATACTGCTAAAAATCACTTTTAAAAAATCACAGCATTTACCCGACTTTATTAATTATCTTAACTCAGTTTGTTTTCCATTTATCATTTAAAATTCTGGGCAAAGTCAGTTGGTTTTAACAGTAACAGCTACTATAAGCAAGGTTCCATCTCACCTTACTTGAGCTACCAAATCAGATATTCCCGATTCACTTCCATCAAAAGTTCTACTTACCCATGATCATGGACATAACGACAATTTGGAGGAAAAGAGGTATTGGAAAACTCACGGAGCCCCTGGCATTCTGTGGTTCCTGTGTGGACACTCCACGGCCTTGGCACCTGGCAATGCTTTCCTGATACAGGAGAGCTCACCTGAGAGCTCAGAACACTCAGGAAAGAACGAAGCAATTCCTAACAAGCTGCTACTTCTCAATAATGTAGCCTGCAAACCTACAGTGAAACTGTGTGATTGTTATTTGGTCAGCAAACGCTTAGGGGGCACTTGGGATACAAAAACAGACACAGTCCATACCGTCTAGATGGTGAGACAGTTAAGAAAATAAGCAGAATACAGCGTATCTATGTTACCCACAGGAGCACAGATAAAGCTCCATTTTGATAATGTGACTGTTAACAAAACTAAAAGTAAGTGAAGAAATAAAACTTTCAAAACATGATAATCAAGTATTCAGGGAACAAAACTCAACTGAAAAGCAACAATACTTACAAAATTCAAAAAATGGCAGACTGCTTCTATCATTCATCAAAAACTTGTTTAAAAAGCCTATTAACAAATGCGCTTACCAATTAAGAGCCATTTATCACTTTTTGTATCCACCTTCCTAAAACTGTTGAAAGCTGCTAACGCCCAAGTCCCTGGGTTACTGTTCCATAAGCAACCTGATCTATGATCCCACTCACACTTCCAGGGTGGGGTGCTGTCTGTGCCCAGCTGTCTTTCACCGGACAACAAACATGTCACAACACCACCACAGATTATTAGAATGATAAAGCCTATATTCATAATTATTTTGAAAATACAGACCGCTCTAAAGTAAGTCAAGAATAATAAAATAATTTTAAATGCAAGAAAGAAACATAAGACTATACATTTGAGAAGTACACAGATCAAAGAAAAACCAAATATGTAAAACGGAGGGCTTTAAAACAAAACAAACAAAAAGGTACTGAAAATACTATAATGTTACCTTTTTGTGGGTACAGGAACCAGCTTCATGTAGAATTGCCACTCTGAACGGAGGCCACCACGTGTGAAATTCTTTCACCCACTGATGCATCACCGTTGTTGGACAGACAATTACAGTTGGACCCAACCCCTCAAACCTGCACGCAAACATCCAAGAAGAAAACACAACCATGAAAGAGCATAAAGAGTGATCAACTGCCCAAAAAAACGCCCCCGAAACAAAAAAACGTAATGATTCAAACAAGAGAATGCCAGCTATGGAAATTTAGTGATATTTCTTTAAAGGAAAACCTATTAAGGTTAAAACCCAGCAAGTGAAGTTTCCATGATCCCATTCATCAATTAGTGCTGCGGTCCGCAGCGCCCAGGCTTCAGGCTGGTTAGGAACCGAGCAGACAGGCTCCATCTACCCCACCCTCCAAGTCCGTGGAAAAATTGTCTTCCATCAGACTTAGGAACCAGGCCACACGGCAGGACGTGAGGAGCAGGTGAGCAAGTGAAGCTTCATCTGTATTTACAGCTCCCCAAGGCTCTCATCACCGCCTGAGCTCCGCCTCCCCACCCACGCCCCCCACCCAGTGGAAAAAACGTCTTCCATAAAACTGGTCCCCGGTGCCAAAAAGGTCAGGGTACCGCTGAATTAGTGGATGCAAGTATTCAGGGAAGACACTAAATAACACATTAAAATATAACATCTACATAGTAACATAAAAGAAAATCAAATGTTATTTAACAAAAATACTTTCCTTTCCCCTTCTATTCCAGATTAGTGAAGCTGAAGTCATCACACAGTGGATCTTAACCTAAGCGAACCTAACAGCATTTAAGTTTGTTTGAAGCTTTCTAGTCTACTGAGAGTTTTCAACCCACAGAATTTCAATCAATCTTAGCAGCCCCAGGAAGCAAGCAGGACAGAAATGCCCCACTGTTTGGGGACTCAGAAGGCTGGAGTGACCCAGGCGACATGGTTCCCAGGGGACGGAGGAATGCCCAGAAGTCAGCCTTCGCGTGGCCGCAGCCTGCCCTCGCCACACCACACTGCTCGCTCCTCTGTGCCATGTTTCTCCTGAGAAGCACGCCAAGGGGACGTGAGCGGGCACTGCTGTGTGGACAGCAGCTGAGCACCACACAGCAAGGGCCTCAGCTGCAGTCGCACGGTGACCCGGTGATCCCAACACAAACACGTACGGACCAGGAGACCCCGTGGAGCATTACTTATGCTGTGGAAAAAGCGGGTGCTACCTACATCCACGGGTAAGAGGGGTGCTGAAGAACTGTCCCATTTCTCTGACAGCACAGGCAGCGCCTGGGGCCCGGCCTGGGTCTGAATCCCGATTCTACACACACTAACTGTGTGAGCTCAGGCACATTGTTTTACCTCTCTGAACCTCAGTCTCTCCTCTTCAAATGGGAATATGAAGATTAAATCAGTTAACATCTGTAAAGGGCTTAGAACAGTGCCAAACAGAAAATACTGTAAGAGTCTATTAAATAAGATGGAATATCATAGAACCATTAAAACAGTTTTTGAAGAATATTTAATAACCTGAATAACTGCTTATAATAAGTTTTTTAAAAAACAAAATTACTTATGGAATCGCCCCAATTCCCTTAGACACAGGCAGGCTGCAAGACTGGCCGTGGCCACTGTCTCAACACCCCCTCCCCTCTCCCTCCTTCCTCACAGAGTCACAGTTTGGGGCAGGTGCCCTCGCTCTTCTTCCCACAGACACGTGCTGTGAGGGGCTCTGCCCACCGTCCGGTGTGAGTGGGATCCTGGCCCGCCTGGGCCGTCGGTGCACAGGGTTCCCCGGCAGCTCCCACCGGTCGTGGCCGGGCCAGGCTGACCCACTTGGTAAGGAAGGTCTTACACTCCACCGAGGTTGGGGGCGAGTTTTCTCTCTTGGTCTCTCCTGCTGCACGCACAGCCCAACAGCCACCGGGCAACTGGGCTGCCGCAGCGAGGCGATCTAATGATCACAAAGAGACTTGGCCTTAGGAGAAAATTCAAGTCTCTGTGTCCCTGATGACATCGCTGAGCCGCTGATCGTGCTGTGCCCACAGCCTCCCCTCTGTAGGTTTCTAAGTGAACCACACATTTTGTGAACGTTTAACCCAATTTGAGGCCAGGTTTCATTTACTTGTAGTCCAGTATCCTGACACATTCTACACCTTAGGTCTATGCCTACATCTGCCCCCGCCCCCCCACCCCGCCCTCCTAGGACAAGGGAACAAGTGTCCCTTTTCTTGTCTGGGACCAACCGGTTTACCTAACCTCTGGAGCCACACCCCCACATCAAGACTCCCATTACTGCAGCCATGTCATCTTTAGTCTTGCTGGGGGATGGGGGATAGGGCATAAGATGAAAATTAATCATAAGTCAAGACTAACTGTGGCAACCTCTTCAACAACAGATGCTCAGCTCATGCTACAAGAGGCACCTGGGAAACAAGACTGACGGAGGGGACCGCAGGCCCACACACTTGCCTCTCACTCCCCTGGAGCAGAGTCCCTGCACTTCGTACACTGTCATCCTCCCCCTCTCCTCCCCTCCCCTTTCCTGCCCAACAAGGATGTGCACTGGTTGAAGCGAAATACACATGCGTTATTCCACTGTGCACCCCATGCTTTCTCACTGCTTCCCACAACTCCAGTTCTCTCTGGGTGCTGATAATGCCAGATCGGGTCTCCAGCCAGATCTCTCTCCTGAACTCCAAGCCACCATATGCCGAATATCTCACTGCTGACTCGAACGTCCCACCGCACCACACACCACCCTCCCCTTGTTCCGATCCAGTGGGCAGAATCGTCACCCACCGTCCAGGCGCCCAAACTGGAAATCTGAGCCTTGACCTCAAGCAGGCCCACTTGCTCCCCACTGCTACTTCCTGATTCCTCTCAAAGCCGCCGTCTCTCCCTCTGGAACTCCAGTTCCAGCCACTCTCGCCTCTCATCTGAGTTACTGCACCTTGCAGCATGATCATTTCAAAATGCACAATCTGAATGTCTCATCCCCGCACTTCAAAGCCTTCAACGGCTGCCCCCTGTTCTTGAAACAGAGTCTAAACACCTGGACCTGGCCTCCGAGGCCACGAGGACTGACCTCTCTAGCCTCGCCTGTCTCATGCTGCCACCCCAACACCTGCTCCTGTGGTCGGTTCCCCCCAGCCTGAACTGTCTTCGGTTCCCACAAGGTGCACACTCCTCTGACCTCATGACCTTCACCCTGTCCACTTATCTTCTTATCCCTCCCGGCCACCTTCCACTTGTCCTTCAGACCTCAGCTTCCTGACAGAGCCTTCCCTGTTCCTTTCTCTCAAGTGAAGAATCCTTCCTCTCTTCGAGAGCAGGGATAATCTCTTCTTCAAATGATCTCAATGCCTAGCTTACAGCAGCAGGTTATTAATGAATATTGGCTTTATTAAACGGAAACTTTTTAAAAAACTGGTAGAAAATACGTCAAAATGCTAAAAGATTATTTCTGAGTTAGGAGATCATAAGTGATTTTTATTTTCTTGCTACAGCTCAATAAATGATCCCCTACACTTAAAATAATTTTTATAAATAAGACTAAATCACACAGTGCTTGAAATATTAAAAATCATTTTCTACCTAACTGAAAGATAACTTGTAGTTCTAATAGAAAAGCCACGAGATTCTAGTCAAGGCCTAACTTAAATAAGGCTTACTCTTACAGTCTAACACGACAAAATGCTTCTGTCCACTTTGAAACCCTCCCTGCCTCCAGCTACAGGCAGTCACTGCCCTGCCCCTCAACGGGTTGGAAAGGGTCAGACCACACAAGCCAGAGGCTACAACAGACTCTGACGCTTCCTACAGAATTTCCAAGCTGCGCTCCTCACCAAGGGCATGGCCTGGACAGGTGCCCTCAAGTTCCCTGGGGAGAAAAGGACTCTGCTCTGGCCCCTTCATGACAGTATTCCTTTCTAAAAGGATTAAATACACCAGCTTCTTTCAATCCTCCAAGGGGAATAAAAGACAGTTATCATCAATACGCACTTAGCAGGGATTAGGAAACAACCAATCAAAAGCTGTCGGCAATATTTAAAAACAAACTCATATTCAAATGAGCATAAATACATACATAAGCTTTTTCAGGTTACACAGCATTTTCTTCTCTCTTTTATAATATGCCTCCTGCAAACTACTACATTGATGAATCACACTTTGTCACTTAAGGCTAATATGTTCTTTCGGCTGCCATCTATCTGGCATTATTATGCCCTTGAATTTCTGCCATTCTCCCTCTGCCAGAAGAACATGGAGGTTTTCATGCTGAGTTGAAATCTAGGGGCAATCAAATCCATTAACAGGCACATCAACTGAACCACCCTTTTCCAACCCTCAGTACCAGTGAGATGAGCATAAGAAATGGCTAAATGTACTAGAGTGACGAGCATCAATTACCAAACAGACTACGATTCCTTTCATCTTTGGTTATTGTTGATTACCTAATGAATTTAGGGCAAGCCAATACTTCCATGGTCAAATATTTCAACCAACAGGATGGAAACCTGCCAGTCATACCTAGAATTTACCAGGAATTTTTATAAAGTAAAATATCGACCCTTGAAAGTTTATTAACGTTTTCAGGATATTTATTCATAATTAGAAATTAGCTAAATGCAAGACTTTAAAGTTTTAACTGAAGTTTGAAACATGAATTTACAAGGTCTGTCCGGAAAGTATCCAGCCCATATGAAAAATGGAGACCTTTATGGCTGGACAGACTTCATACTTGCTCTCCATCATACAATTCAGAGGCCTATCATTGTAATATGAATAGCAAAGTAAAAAGAAGGTTGGGATCCCATATAAACTGGGAACACAACAATCAGTACAGATTTTTATTAACCACATGTAGTATGTTTCTCCCTCTTTTAAAAACAAACAAAAATACGACACACATTTAAAACAACAACAAACCAAACTTCTTTTACCATGAAGTTTCTTGGTCTCACAGAGTCTTAAATTACTTCATTTTCAAAGTTCATGGACCTTAAAATTACAACACAAAACCATCTCAAATTAGGGCCCAAAAATGTACAGTTTGCAAGAATTCAGAAGAAATGTACATAGCCAGTGAAGCAATACCAGCTCACACAGAATTTAACTTGACCTCAAGTGCTGACTATTTCTTTTTAGGACATAAACATAGAAGAGAACTCCCACGTTCATCTAATTTCAGAGGAGGACATATTATAAAATTGTTAGAAAAATACTGTCCAATTTGCTCTGGGACACATAAGGCAGAGGGGACTGACCTCCTCAATGCACCTCTCTTCACAAAGAGCCCAGTTGTTCAGCCGATACGTTACCACGTTCTCGAAAGCCACTTCTACCAATACTATTTTAAAAAAGATGATCTGGGCTATAGTCCAATATGCCACACTATTTCATTATAGGAAAGAGGATATGAGCATTGATAGTTAATTGACTATAGCTGCTGCTCATTATTAGCCCTGACTTCACTCCTAGGAGGACTGCCACCACTCAAGAGAGCATGTTTTAATTTTTAGATCGAAACTACACTGCAGGGATAACTTTAGGTTTCCTAGGCCCAGCGTATTAGACTCCATACAGGTTTCATGATTAGAGGAAAGGAAGGCAAGAAAAGAGATGAGAAATAATAAAATCCCAGAAATCATTTAAGGAAACAAAGACAGTCCTAGAAACCATTTGGGACAGTTTGGGGCATTCTAGTTATCGAAAAACCCAATACAGTTGCAGAGACCACGCCAACCGAAGAGCTTATTTAGAATAGAGAAAGCGTGTTTTAAAATACTAAACTAATGACATTCATAGATAAGGAAACACTAAATGTCCATTTTCAACTTTGAGTTTTGCCTTGGGCTGGAATGTTTTCACATGCTTCCAGGCAAAATGTAATAGAATTCTAATACTGGAAGAAAATCCTCTGCTCACTGATAATACAACTTGTTGAAACACCAACAACATTCAGCATTTAAAAAATCTCCAAATTTTTTCCCCTTCCTACATCTACATAAATACAACTGGTATTCTAAAATATTCTAAAACTTCAAACACTCCTCACAAGAAGTGCTGATCTGCTAAATTAATGAAAGAGAAAGAAATAAAAACAAAGCACTAAACTCTGAAGAATAAAAAAAAGTTCTTGACTCAATAGCTTACAGTTCGTATTTGGCTCTCTACTGAACATTTCTCTGCCAATGAAATGGAGTACAGACAGTAACTTTCTGCAGTTGCTGACTTCAGGCACGTCAACACTATTTTATTTTATTTATTATTTTATTTTTTTATGTCGACACTATTTTAAAGGCATCTCCAAATCATATGTAATGAGTGTCTGAAGTTTCCAGGACATAACAATCTAGTAAATATCTTGCTCTTATTTATTAGATAAACCTACTGATAAAACTCCTACACAAGGAGTTCCTGGATTATCTGGGTTCAAGATTAAATATCCTGCATACTTTACTTAGCAATATTTCTACCAATATTGATTTCTATAGTCAATTTGCAGCTTAAATATGGAAATGCTCAGTATTTTATTTCAAGATAAAGTATTTCTGTCCTCCCATACCAAACAGATTAATCCTTTTTTTGAGAATATTAAAATCTTAATAGTTTAGATTTCTATAGAGAACAAAGATTAAAATCTAAATGATAGTTTTCTATCATTTTAGACAGTCATTTAGGTTTTGGCCTTAGAATTTATATAAAATCCGTAGACTAGAGGGAGGCAGAAAGCACAGCAAGCAAACAAGTAACTTCATTCAAAAAAAAAAAGAGAGAGAGCGAGCTGTCTATAAATGCTATCATGCACAATGATTATAAAGGAAATTAGGGAGAATGTCTTCTTCAAAGCTCCAACTTTTCCCATGAATAGACTTTATATTTACTGTAATGCTTACTTGGTCTCCTGCCAGAACAAATATTTTAATGTAAAATTTAATAAATGGAACTAAAGGTATTATGTCTAATTTAAAATTCTATATTGTGTAAACTATTGATATTAACATAATTGAGTTTGTAAACAATCCATTTGTAGAAGCTAACCTTAGACATCGTATTGACCCAAAATATCTAGTGGGGCTCATCTGCAAAATGAAGCATCAATGCCTGGAATTCATTAAAAGTGTTACATGTTTAATTTCTCCTGCCCTACAGCTCCATTGTCTCGTAAAATTTTTCCTTTGATGTCCCCCACTAAAAGAATTAAAGGAATATTGTAATTGAAATGTCATCAATAATTCACAAGACCCTCCTCCACAGCAATACATCTGATGAAATATTAATTGAGCTCCACAGACTGACAGTCTGCAGAGGAGCACTTGCCTGTAATTTGAACCACGAGTCCTGATCTTGCTGTAGCTCAGACCTGCCAAGAAGGCAATTATCTGGATGGTCTTGCCCAATCCCATTTCGTCTCCCAGAATTCCTCCTGCCTGCTGGCAGTGCAATTCCCACAGCCACCTAACACCTGTCTGCTGATACCTACAACAACAAACACCAACAAGAAAAGAGAAAATGGCAAATGGTGGATAATACAGATCGTAACAGAAAGTACTCATGAATTAATCATTTGGCTAGGTTCTAGTACCAGTCAGAGAAACACGCCGGATGTGTGTTTTACATGAGTATTATATTTATAAGGTCATACATTTTTGATCACCTAGGCATAAAATCACAAATTTTTCTTTACAGAACGTTAACACATTTCTAATTAAACTGATAGATGGGGTAATTAGGGACTATCTCATTTCTTTTTCAACATTAGAAATAGCCTGGAAAACAAGCATAAACTTATTATCTTTTATTCACTCTCTTCCTGGGGAAAAAAAATCCCAAATATTTTTGGTATATAAAGTTCCACTAATTTTTCCACAAAAAAGAGGCATTAACATTTATTTTTTCAATCTCAACTGCATCAAAAAAGCAGGAAGGAGACCACCACAATTTACAACTCATACTGTTGAAAAGTCACTTGGTAATCATATTATCTTTTTATAGGAAAAATTAAATTATCTTTTAAAGCCATAAACAAGTCTAAATAATACGGCTGCTCTCAAAATTAGTACATAACAGATGATTCTGTCATATTACTAGCAGATGCAAAAAAGAACAGTTTAAAGACTCAACAATACAAAAGGTCTTTTCAATATTTGAAAGCAGAAATTGATTCGGGGATTTTACCTTCGGTACAAAAAGACCTTAGCTATTAAGATTTTAAATAAAGAATACAGGTCAAAAAGAAAGAATATATCCCCTCCCTCTCCCACCAAAAAAGTAGGAATTGGTATTTTCCTCTCTCCATCAATGTCATGTTTAATCTGTAACCTAAAAATGAAGTTTAAAAAGGAATAATGCAAAAAACAATTCTAGGAGGAATGGTGTGAAGATTATATGCCAAGTTAAAAAAATCTCAAGCAAAAACTACCAATGAAAGCCAAAGGATTCTTTTTTTTTTCCAAAGAGAATACCAAGGCTGAGTTCCCTTGTTACTTCACCTTTAACTCACGTTTAAAAAGGTGGTTTTGTTGTTGTTTTGCTGCCCAAATATTTACTATTTGGTACCCGGTATGTCTATCTAAAATCTCAGTTTGGACTTCAGTTCTTGCTGAACTGGTTTTAACTTCCTCTCCATAAATATGTTCTAATTAATTTTCCCCCAGTCTTTTGCAAAGCAATTCTAAAAGTTAGACTCTAGCAATTGCCATTACTACCTATCATATAATCTCAGCTTTTGAAAAAGACATACTCCCAAAGCTCTGCAAAAAAACTAACATGTAATCAGTTTCTAGAATCAGTAAATTCTGGTCAATTAACCTCCTTTTACTGAGGTACAGAACGACTATGGGACCAGTTCCTTCCAGGCAGGGACCAAAAACCTCCCAGTGACCATGTTGGCATTTTACCACTACATCACACTGCCCACTTCCAACATGGGTCCAACAACTTTCTTTGTTTGGGGCCCATTCACTTAATTAAAGTGAGAAGAATCTGGAAAGGAGCAATTGAGAAATTATGAGAGGAATGGTAACGAGTATGGTATCCCAGGAGTTTGGGAGGGAATTGGGACATCTGGATTCTATGTGACCCAGGAGAGGCAGTAACAGTATTCTGGGTGTTTCCTCATCTAAAAATCTAATCCACTGGCTTCAAACAGCCCATGATTTTGTGTACACAAGAAGATGATTACCACTAAAAAAATGACTTAAGAAAAAATATTTACTAAGCAGCCCTGTAAGTCACATCTCTATACAGAAATCCCCAAAACTAGGGACAGTGTACAAAGACGACAAAGAGGGGCTCTTTCTTTCCAGCCACAACACATGAAGGCCCTCAGATGGCAGTCAAAGGAAATGCGCTTGCACACTCAAAAGCACCAGCCACACTGCTGACAGGTGTGTCTGATGGACGAGGAGTTAGGCCTGGGCTCTGGGTCCAACAGTGCCACTGACCAACTCTGACCTTCCTAGTAATAAACACTGTAAACAATTACATGGTTTAAATGAAAACGTTATAGAATCCAGTTTTCAAAACCTTTGAAAAGCACATAAAAATTACTCCTTAGGAAGAGTTAAAGATTTGTCTAAACTGTTATACAACAATAAGGAAATTATTATATCCTGTTATCCCCAGGAGACTGAAGCATCACAATGTGACCACGGATAATTGGTGTACCTTGGCATTGTCACACTAACCCAGTGTGGCTGAAAGTAAGGTCAAAAGAATGAAGTTTGTCATATGACTGCTAAATTATACAGACCAATGCATTTGCTGGGCAAACTTTCAAAACCAATTTAAAAGTTAAACATTATCTTGCAGAAAATAGCACTTAAATGGCTAATTGTACCTTCTAACTCCCTCGTGTACAACTAAATACCCTGTTAATTCAATTCCACAGAATGCAGTAAATACAGTAAAAAAAGAAAAATATCTCTATAGTTTAAAATTAAATTGGCTGGCTAAAACTTGATCATAAAAGAAAAATGGAGACTCTATCAATCCTATTAATTTTTTTCATACATCCGAAGAAAAGGAACAGAAGTTTTATGACATCTACAAAATATTTAAAGTACTGGTTATTGTAGAGATAAAAACAAAATACTTTCCAGGAATATCCAATTAATTTAAAAAACATGTATTTATATTAACTAGTATAGAGTTAATTATCAATACACTGAATCCTATATACTCTTAGTAAGCAAAGTTTGGTTCTATTAACTGTAAAATTTCTTTGCTAGAAAATCTGACATTTATACATAAATGCACACTTGACCCTTGAGGATGTTTGCCATATCACTTCCTACACAGGCAGACGTACCCTGCCTTTGTGAAATCAATTTAATCTATAATTGGGTATTCCTTTTGCTAGTTCAACACTGATACTATTTGGCCTGTTCCTTAATAAGCAATCACTTTAGAGAAAATGAAAAGAGTTGCCAATAAATGTTGTCTTTATTTACCTTTCCCTAGTTAATTTTCATTTGGGAGAAGCAATAAACAAAGTAGCCACCTCTCTGGGCGATTTTCTCTGCAAAAATCACTAGAAATTCAGCTGTTACCTTCTGCATAGTTAGTTCTTCCTCTGTCCAGTTGTGGCAACCCAGCCACGTCACTTCACACCTTTAGGATATGGCTTCCTGTATGTTTAAGAGGTTAAAATAACTACTCTTCACTCCCCTAACCTTGCCAGAGAGAGAAAAATTAAAACTGTAATATTTAATATAAGCTCTTTGAGAGGAAATATAAAGAGCATGCTTTTAAGTAGACTTCCTCTACATGTTTAGGACATGGCTGACAGCTGAATCTATGAAGGAGATTAAACTTAATCATCTCAGAGAAAGAAATCTGCATCCTGCTCCCAACTACAAATGGATGATACAAAAGAGTCAGAAAGAAGCTATTTAATGGTTTAACTTCCTACATGCATCTAAGAAGCCTTCCCAAAGCATCTTGTTAAGTAAATCCCTGGAGTGATGAGACTGAAAATGCTCCTCAGTATTTCCATTCATCACAGGAGACTGGCCAGCCCTTCCAGACCGTGAGCGTGCATCTGTCTGCCAGGCAGCATCCGGTCATCTGTAACACTTGGCCACTTTACATATGAAACGTAGGCAGCTTCAAATAGCAACCTAATCCTCAAGGTGTTGCCTGTATCTTCTCTTTTGACATCAGAACGACATCTACATAAAATATTTAGATGCACATTTGGTCGGCTCCAAAGTATTATACCCTCAGGTACAATATAAGAAAATAATCTCAAATTTTTTACTTCCATATAGAAGTTAAAAAAAAAACCCTCCCCAATATTGATTTTAGTATATTAAATTAATCTGATACAAGTTTGGCACCTTAAAATTGCTAAGAACAAAAAATAATTCAACATAGATGGCTTTTAAATGTGTTGCTTTTAGTCTGCTGAGATAGGTCCATATAGATTCCTCAGTCCACAAACATACCCAATGCGTACTTTAGTCAATTTATTATCATCTAATTTTAATGAACAGCATGTGGCTAAAATTTCATTTGACGGTGTCTGTTTTTGCAATAAATTGCTGCAAGTACCTTAAGGGCCTGCAGGTAACTACTGTGTAATTCCTAAAATATTAATTTGCCCATACTGGCTTGATAACAAATATAAAGAACTGATCACATGGCACATACTTAAAAAGCTTTTTGAACAGAAAACCCGGCACTTTAAAACCTTCGTCGAACTCGGCATCGCTTTCCTCAGAATCATCTTCTAGTTTCAGACGCTTCTCTTTGTCCTGCAGTCTCAATTTATTCCATCTCCTACGATGAAAATAAAAATCATATTTCTATTATTTTGGTTACAAGACAGATTAAAATAGATAGTTCCAGATCACACACAGGAAAGAACAGGCAAATTAGAATGGTCTTTCAGGTTTCTGCTGCCATCATTATCCAAAACACTAATATTCAAAAAAGAAAAACAGTTCTCTTTTCCTGCCTTCCCAGTTCATTTCTTATTTGAATTATTATAGCTGCTCTAGAAATATTTCTGTGAGGTCTCATTTCATTATCAAAACTACCTGCTGCTCTTCTGGCATACCCCTAAGGGAGAAATTTCTCTGCTAGTTCCTAAGATATATGAACTTAGCTCTATAAAAGATTCAGGAAATGAGTTACTCAAGCTGTATGAGGAAAAAAAAAAAAATTCAGGAAAAATTTCAACATAACTAATGTATCTCCAAAACAATACAGTGTAATAAAAATAGATTTTATTTACTACTATTATTTCTGTGCTCAAGATAGGATAGTCATAGCATAAAACAGTATAGTACCTTGGACATAAAGCAACTTTTTGGTCAAACCACTGTATCAGATTCACATTACTGATTACCCTGCTAGGGGAGACATCAACAATATAAAAGTACTGATAGTTATACCGCTCAGACAAAATGTGTTCACTGAATAAAGTCTAAGTTACGAATTTAGTAATGTGATGTTTTTCAGATATAAAATGAGCATTTATATTTCAGAAGGGTGTCACTATGTATGTTTAACAGAAGAAATGTTGGTCATACAAAGATCTGAAAGTCTTAGCAACACACCAAGGTTGTGGGGAAGATGCAGCCATTTAACCACAATGCATTCATACAACTATATAACTATAATGGACCCTAGTGTCATAAAGTTAAAAAAAAATATTAAAGTCAATAGCCTCAAATTCTATTCACTTTGAAAATAAAAGGATGACTTTTTTCAGCATGCGTACAACTGACACTCTGAATTTCAGAAAATGGCGGAAATGGAATGAGACAATAATACAGACAAATGCCTTCAAACTAAAAAGCTCATAGCAAGGGAATGAGAGCAGCAACACACAAAAAGGCATTTATCTGCCACTGACGATGCAAGAATAACAGAGAATGTCTGAGGGACAGCAAGAGAGAAAATGAAAGGATAATACTGCACACCCTGCCTGGTTAGAGGCATGGTATATTTCCCAGTATCCACTAAAAAACCAGCAGAGGCCAGTGTAAGAGTGACAGGCAACCCCCTCCAGGTAGCTGCTGGTGGACCTTAAAGCACATCCTCTGACAAATTCTTGCCTTGCTGAAAATTTCAACTCTTCAAAGTAACAAAAGGAAGGGGTAGCTGAAATTTACTTGTGATCAATAAGAAAGCACTGGTTGGTGACCTGAAACTGCACTGCAGGATAGTAAGAGAACCTATAAATGAGATCAATGAAGCACTGTTAGTAATTTCCAGAGAAGAACAGCAAATGGAAGAGACGGTATATGGCCAAGTCTAAGGAAATGGATATCATCTAACCCTAAGGTTTAATATGGGATACTCTTTTTATATAAAAATTTAATGTCCTTTTTTTGTGCTTAACTTCTAAAGGCAATCTCTTCTTCTATGAGTATTTTTCTCCCTTAAAAATTATCTCCACACAATTGACCAAATGAAGTATCTCTGGGTAGCTATGACAGTCTTCTGAGTTTCATGTTATTTACAAGTTCTGTTAAGTGCAGTGGTGTACAGCAATGGCAATTTTGCCCCCACCAACCCACTCCAAGGTAACTTGACAATGCCTGGAGACATTTTTGGTTGTTACAACTGCAACTGAGTCTGGGACAAACTACTACTAGCATCTTGCAGGTGGAGTCCAGGGATGCTGCCAAATACCCTACGACACACAGGTTGGCCCCTTCCCCCCCAAGTAAAAAGCTATTTAGTCTCGAATGTCAATAGTGCTGAAGCTGAGAAACCCTGGCATGCAGGTATGCCTTACTATCAGAACTTAGAAACTGAAAAGATGCATACACATGAACTCTTGCTACTCACTCTGAAACTCAGCAATCAAGCAGTTTCAGATAAGATATTCCTCAGTATCCAAACCCTTACCCTCTGAACTCAGAACCAAACATCTGCATAAGAAAGGATATTTGAATTTAGCAAATTTGTGGATAATGTGAAACTTGGAAGAATCATGAAAACTACCACAGCCACTTGAAAACACTTCATTTTTGCAATTTCTCAAAGGTAATTTTACAATAAGAAAAATAAAAACACCAGAAAATATGGGCTTTAAAAGTTTGGCACAACAAGGCCGGGCACGGTGGCTCACGCCTGTAATCCTAGAACTCTGGAAGGCCGAGGCGGGAGGACTGTTTGAGCTCAGGAGTTCGAGACCAGCCTGAGCAAAAGGGATACTCTGTCTCTACTAAAAATAGAAAGGAATTAATCAGACAACTAAAAATATGTAGAAAAATTAGCTGGGCATGGTGGCACATGCCTGTAGTCCCAGCTAGTTGGGGGGCTAAGGCAGGAGGATCGCTTGAGCCCAGGAGTTCAAGGTTGCTGTGAGCTAGGCTGACGCCACAGCACTCTAGCCCGGGCAACAGAGTGAGACTCTGTCTCAAAAAAAAAAAAAGTTTGGCACAACAAGATCATTAAATATTTTACATGCAGTAGTATCAGATATTAAACTTCATTGATAGACAACGGCTATTTCCTTAGGCTTAGTCAGTAAATCTTTGTGGCTGTTAAATTTCCCACCACATCAAACTGCATCGACAGGGTTTCAGCTTCCTCCTCCTCCCTCCCTCCTAAAATATACAGGCATCGTGTCACCACAGAACTCAGCACCAAGGAAACCACATAAGCCACTACAGAAATGATTGCATTCCAGTGTCTTCCGCTTCATAAAGAAAGATGAAAAGGTCCAAACATTTATTCAGTTTGGCTAAAGGATGACTAAAGGTGGTGGGGAAAAATCATTATTGCTACAAGTATTTGTATCATTGTGAAGACAAATTGCCCCAGTAGAATCATATACACATAATACAGACAGAAAACACCACGGTTATAAAACCACATGCGTATGTGGCTGTGGCTAAGAGATCCTTCCGTTACATAAGCAATACTTCCTCGTGTGGCTTGTAGCCAAAAGACCTGACCATCTGACGAGGGCCACGTCAGCAGCACAGCATGAAGGTGCTGGTCTGTAAGTACGAGAGGGCACAGCACACTAGGGGGATGGAGAGGTGAGTTCACCTGCACACAGAAAGAAACGTGCCTTCCCCATCCTAGATGCTGCCAAGAGGCTCAAAGGTGCTCTCTACAGCGTGTTTAACCAGCTTGTCCCGTAGCCTGGCAGGCTGCACAGTCTGTCTGGCCAGGAGATGCAAAGGGCGATTCTGTGCTATGAACACACTGGGTTTGACATACAGAGAGGTGCAGGCCTCTCACAAAGTCTGGGCTCAGACTGCTAGAGTCAAATCCTACTGCCATTTATTAGCTCTTTAACCCTCAACAAGTAGCTTAACTTCATCAGCATCTAAGTTCCCTCCACTGTGACAAGACTGCGGGAACAGCAGCACCCACTTCGCTGGGTTTTGGGAAGGATTAAATGAGGTGTCCCGTGTAAAGCACTTAACAAAGAGACTAGAATATAAGAAATGCTTAATGAATATAGTATTATAATCATATACACTTACTGAAATCCTGACAACCACCCTACAGCAGGTACTTTTACTATGTTCACTTAAAGAGGAGGAAACAAGATAGATAGATAGATAGATATGGCCAATATGATCGGCATGTGATAATGTAATGCACCACTAATGTTTAACAGAAATATATGAACATTTATTTTTGAACAAAAACTGTGATAGTTCAGCGAATGGATGCTCAGTAAATTATTATGCATGGTATGATCACCATATGGGTAAAGAAATCTGGCCTTCAGAAGGTACCTGGCTGGGATATCCCAATTGAAAAGTTCTGTCATGAATTGTGAACAGTAAACTGTCACGAGTATGGCAGTCTTTTATGTTAGAGTAACAAAAATAGATACGGAGGACTTAAAATTGGTTGGGAGTGGGTCAAAGTTAAGATCTGGGCCCAAGTGAGCTGAAATCTTAAGAATCAGAAATGGCCCCCAAATTTAAACTCAATTATCTCCATAAATAGGCCGGTTAACTGAGAAAAAGCAGAAGGGGGCATTAACTAGTCCAACATTTACCTTTTTAGAAAAGAAATAACTTTTTCATGTTCTCTATTCTCTCATTTTAAAAAATCCACCCATGCAATAGTCACAGCTGCAGCCACATAAAACGAAGTGGGCCTGGTGTTTACTGGCCAAGTTTCCAGCCCTCACACGACTGCCAGACCCAGCCTGCCATCGACTCCACTGGCAGCCACTTGTAAGAGAAGCCAGGAACAAACATAAACTACAATTTCAGTCAGATGCAGGCAGAGAAAACACTCCCAGCTTCCCTGCATTCATGCCGGAATGAGGAACAGGCCCAGGCTGTGTGGCCTGGGGCTGACATTGCGATGATCATCTATCAGAAGCAACTCGGACCCAGCATAACCAGTTGAACTACACCAGGAACAATGCATCCTCCAGCTGGAACCTGCTGGGGTGCCTTGTCAATAGAGGAACCCTAAGAATACACCTGAGAACTAGCTGCCACCATTTAAAGTTAATTTATCTCAGAATAATTTCCAGTATTCCCAGGATATTCAAAATACATAAGCGGAAAAACACAGCTATCTCCCACTGTGCCGTACCAGGCATGTGGCCTCATCTCTGTGCACCTGCGTGTCCTGCACTGCCCCCAAGCTCCGTCCCCAACACACACATCCACACACTCAGCAGACCCTTCAGGGCTTCATTTAAAGAGCACCCCCACTCGGGAACCTTCCCTGGCCAGCCAGACTCAGACATCCTGTCTTTCAAGGGCCCTCCCAAGCCCGTGACATCTTGGGCACAGCTGCGATCTCTAGGATAGAGCCCATCAAGCGAACGCCCTCCT